TCGTCAAAGACGCTCGATGGCCCGGCGATATTTTGCAGGGAGAAAAACAGAAAGAGAAAGAGAGAGAGAGAGAGAGAGAGAGAGAGAGAGAGAGAGAGAGAGAGAGAGAGAGAGAGAGAGAGAGAGAGGGAGATATCTCCCTCGGCAAAGATATTCCGAGCGAAAGTACCGTTCACCTCGCGGAAAATTTACGGAGCAACTTGGAAATATCGAGTTACATCGCTCGCGACGTCGAAGTAATTAAAATAATCTCACGAGATCCGGCGGAGGCGGTCCAAGGCGATCCTTCAGGGACGGGCAAAGCCGTGAGAAAGGCGTTCTCTCATGCGGGTCTCCGCGAAAAATTCGGTCTCGCGGCTGAGAGAGCGAGAATAGAGTCGTCGTCGTCGTCGTCGTCGTCGTCGAGAGAGGTCGGGCATATATCTCGCGATCTTCCAGCATCCGCCAGCATCCTTTCGAAGGATGCTGGTAGTGGAGCGAGCTTGTCCCGGGAGCGCAGCGGGTCATGGACATGGGCCAGGAGGTGGTGGCGTATAGGAGGACCGGCGGCAAGGCGAGGGGCAGCGGAGGGGGAGCGGGGGCATCAGTCAAGGGATTAGCGGGATTAGCCCTCGAGGGGGACTTGTTAATTGCTCGGTAGGCATGACGGGAGGGAAGAGGAGGAGAAAGAGGAGGAGGAGGAGGGAGCAGGAGGTGGCGAGGTGGACGCGCGTGTGTGGGTGTCCACACCAGGTTCCGAGGACAGAAGTCAGTCCTGAGCGGAGGGAGCGAGCGAGAGAGAGAGAGAGAGAGAGAGAGAGAGAGAGAGAGAGAGAGAGAGAGAGAGAGAGAGAGAGCGAGAGAGAGAGAGAGAGAGAGAGAGAGAAAACGAAGCGAGAGCGAGAGCGAGAGCGAGGACACAAATCACGGCAGAGTTACGGACTTAAGGAGGCTTACCGGCCGGCCGCGGTCAGCCGCAGATGCATTCGCCGAAGAAGCTCCGGGTCGCTTGCAGCGCGCAGGACGACGTCGCGGGACACGGCGCGAAGGATGCGGCTCGCGCCGTGTTCCGTTAGTTCCGTCGCTCGAGACAAGGCGAGCGTTGCGCTGCGAAAGGCTGACGTGTCGGACGCAGGATATTTTTCGCGCTCGCGTGTATAAGATCGAGATCCTGAAGGAGCGATCTCGGGATATTTCAAGCGCCAGATCGGAGCACCTGCAAGTCCGCGATTGAAAAGAAAGCCGAAAGTGCTGGGAAATCCGAGAGCCCAAAGATTAGATTAAGATTACACTTTTTATTTATCCTTAGATACAATTTGCTTATATCAGGATAATTAAATCGTCTTTTACATAAATTTTTATATAAATAATTTTATATAAATAATTTTCAAGTCCTCTTTAGAAAAAGAAAATTAAAAATCCCCCCGACGCGAGCGCGCTCGGTCGACTCTCCCAGCAGGATCTCTCTCTCCTGAGAGAGGTATCCTTCGACGTCGGGGTCGCGCTAATAGCGCGATAATCGTCGACCTAATGCAGACGTCGCGGCGCGAGGAGCGAGGATTTCGCGACGCGGCCGCGGACAGGGCAGGCCACCGGTCGTAAATCACGCCGTCGACGTTTACGCTCGTCAAAGCGAACAACATGGGACGTAAATAACCGCGGCGCGAACTTCGAAGCGCGCGGCCTCGCGCTTAACGTTTAGGGGAAGCTCCTAAAACGGAATCGATTCTTATGCGCGCCGGTCGTCATAGTCGCGAGTCGCAAACGCCAGTAAACACCTAGCCTGTTTGTTGTAAATCACCGTCGGTGTTCGTAGCCGATTGCTTTCGGCATGATTTACTTCCGAGTGCGTGCGTGCGTGCGTGCGTGCTTTTCCTCCTCTTTCGCTCCTCCTTTTCTTGCTTCGCGAGCGGACCGACCGCTCCCACGCGCGCGCTGCTGTCGCGACGCTCAATTCGGACGGTCGCGAACTCGCGGCTGCGACGAGTGCAATTTAATCCCTCGGTAAAGAACGTCGCCTGCGCGGCGTAAGGCTGTCGGTCTGCTTTCTTTCGTTGCGTATCGTTAATCGTAGATATATATCTTTTTTTAATTATGCAGAGTCCATTAAAATTATTATTGCACGAATTCCCGCGGTGATCTAATGAGAATCGAGACATTGGGGTGACGGAGCAAGCATCTGCACTGAGAGAAAAGTATATGATATTTGGAACTATAATGATATAGTAACTAAATTATAGTCCGAAATATCATATTTATAGTAAGTATTACCATAATATCGGTAATAATTACGATATAGGCGTAGTATAACCAACCATATAATATTTTTACTAAGAATTATAGCAAGTTAAACTAAAATTATTGTATAGATACAATATAAATAAAATATAAAATGGTAGGTAAAGTAACTCCTTTATACAGTCAATATTTGCTAAATGATGACAGATGTAACTATATGAATATTAAATCTCACTATATTTGTGAATGAGAAATCACCATATATGTGGTAAAAGTAACTAAACAATTATTTAAGACAATCATTGATTATGTATTTGTGTTTATTCTACTATATTTTGTAGGTTCCGCGAACTATAAAAATATGGTTGACGCCAAAATGAACTATAAAATATAGTGAGATTATAGTTAATTCAAGTATATTTTTCTATCGGTGTGAGGCAAAGTGGAAAATCACCACTTGCTGAAGGGCTGAACCGGCTGAAGGCCTCCGTAAGCGGGCGATCATCGAGCTCCCGCGAAACGCATTCGTCAATTCCGCGCGCGAACGCGCTCGAGACCGCGACTCGAAGTGGCCGGCCGAGCGAGCGGATTCCGCGTCGCGTTTTCGATCCGCCTCCCTGCCGATCCCAAAGTAACGCCATGCGTGCGCGAATACACGTCGGATATGATTGATTTTTGAATCCATGTTTATTAAGAGCTTTTCATGCAGCTTTATGAGTACTATCAATCCCCGATGTTTGTAACAATAGTTCGTCGATACTCCGCATCCGCTTCTTTTATATTCACTTCAACAGCATGTTTTTTCTCGTTTTTCGAGCGCGCGAGAGACCGACGGTATACGTTCCTTTTTTTTCTAATTTTCATTAATGTATCGTACTGCGAGATAAAAATTCGAGGGACGCGAATAAGCCGAATCGAGATTTCGAGTAAAATCAATTTACTCAGAGTTTACGGGACGATGAGACGAAGATGAAGGATAATTTTATAAGCGAGCACCGGACGTTCATTCCGATCTTCAGAAGCGATTCCTCTCCTCGTCCTTCTTCGCCGAGCCGAATATCTTACTCGACAAGACTCGTCTCGGCGAGGTCTCAGTTACCAAATCGAAACTCGAGATTGGCGCGTCCTTTCTTCGGGAGTCGTTTATGATGCCGGGCATCCGCGCCGATAATTCACGGCGATACAGCGCGCGCACCGGGCGCAGCCGCGGCGATAATTTATGATTCCAATTGAGCGCGCGAGCACGCGTGAAAGAGTTCCAGCAGTCGCGCGATCCTGTGCAGGAGGATCGGCCGTGGCATTTCCTGCCTACTGAATGGCACCGCGTCCATAAACCCCGGCCGACTTCAATGACGACACACAGTGGTCGGAGTCCAATAAAAGTGATAAAAGGAGAAACTGGAGAACACTCGAGGTGGTAGGACGAGACGAGAGACAGAGACAGAGACAGAGAAACAGTAAGAGAATGAGAGTGGGAGAAACGGGGCGGGGGGCGGGGAGGGGGAGAGAGGGAGGGAGAAACGGAGAGAAATGTTTCTGGACAGCTGTCCGGCCGTACAAAGCCGACGAAGTGCGCGCGGCGCGATCGCGGGGAGACACAATACGTAGGTAGTGGACGACGACTTCTTCCACGTCGAGATCCCACGAATTTTACAGCCCGGCCGCGGCGCGCTGAGAGAGCGAGCCGAATCCTCTCGGGCGAGAGACATCCTCGCGCCTTCGTAACAGTTCGAAAGTAAACCAGTTCCCGGCCGGCCGGTGACTTTTCGCGATGACGGCGGAAGCGCGAATCGCGGACGCGGTCGGCTGACGCCCGATGGCGATCGGCGATAATCCGCGGCGATAAGGATGTGAGGATCCTGCCGTCACTGATAACCTGGAATCTTATCCGGTAGAGATAAGATTCCAGATCGCGGGATATCTCGACGAGTTTCAGCGGGACGCGGGGTATTAACGATAAACGACACACATCTGAGAATAATCAGCGACTAACTGGAATCGCGAGGACGATTCGGCAACGGCGAGGAGACGGGGGGGAGGGGGGGAGAGGTGGCAGCGGAGCTGCTGCTGTTATTCGAAGAAACACACACGCGCGGTCGCGTTGGCGCTCCCCGCTCCCTACACGCTCTCAATCGTCCGCACATGATATCGATTAACGGTGGATTTTTTCGCGGCTCACGCGACACCGACGATGAAATACTTCGGCAAAACCGCAACTTGGCATGCGTAATCTATTTTGCCCGGCCGCCCCCGTGGCGGCCGGCAAAAAACAATTAACCGCCGCGGTTTTTACAGCCGCAAGCGGGGATATAATAGTGAACGATTTCGACAACCGCAGAGAATTATGCGGGATGACCGCAGTGAATCGGCGGCAGATGGCCAATATCGACGTTTCCTCGCGCTAGTCGCGCAAATTGTAAATTAACGCGACATTAGCCGACCTCCTCCCCTCCCCTCCCCCTCCTTCTCGCGCGGCCACTTTCGCGCCCGTGGTATAAAGCAAGTTTCCCAATAAAAGACGTGAGCGCCCTGATCAATTTCTGTCTCTCCTTTCTCTCCTTCCTTCTTCTTTCGCTCCCGCTCTCCTTCTCTTTCGCTTTCGCTCTTGGCTCGCTTGGATCACGCGGCGAGACAAAGAGGAAGAGAGAGAGAGAGAGAGAGAGAGAGAGGAGGAAAGACGCGACGATCCACGTGTAATTCGTCGTTGACGGACTCGGGAAGTTATTACTTCATCGGAGACGTCACACCGATATAATGAAGAAACTTCGTGTAGAAATACTCACGATTCCGTCTCTCCGAGCAGAACAAGAGCAGCCGAGATAACGAAGGGAGCTGGGATAAGCCGGCTGCGCAAACTGGAAGACACGATCTCGAGATAATCGTGACGGCGTGGACTTCTTATCTCTCTCTCTCTCTCTCTCTCTCTCTCTTTGCTTCTCATGTTCTCTTACGCAACGAGAGACATATACATACACGTGCAACATCCACGCGCATTACGCGGCGAACGGCGATACGCGAGTCGGTAAAAGGCGCGCGCGCGCACGTCTCGTCTGATTCAACCTACCGCAATGATCTCCGGTAAATCTCGACGCACCATAATCGAATCCCAAACAAAAAGAGGAAGAAAAAAAGTGCTGCATCGAGAGGGAGAGAGAGAGAGAGAGAGAGAGAGAGAGAGAGAGAGAGAGAGAGAGAGAGAAAGAGAAAAAGGAATAATCTCGCCGATCAAATAACCGACGGTGAAAAAATGAGCGAAGAGGGTGAGACGAAGAGAGAACGGCGAGGGTGGGTGACGCGCGCGCGCGCGCGCATATATGTTGACGGGGGTGAGAGAGTGAGAAAGAGAAAGAAGGTAGAGGGGAGGGGGCGCTCGCACAATATCCCGAACAAACGCATTCCACGGTGCGACACGTGAATAAAATACAGACCGCGGTATAATATATCGATTATGATGATAGAAGGTCAGAGGGCGAAGAGGAGGGTGGCGGGGTGAGGGGGCCGATGCGCGGGGGCAGATAGGGGTTGGGGAAGCGGGGGAATGGCGAACAAGAGAGGAGAGGCCTCGACTCGAGGACTGGACTGTCCCGGTGAGAGAGTGTTGAACATACTGGGCGGCATATGGTCCACATCGGCTTCTCTGTCCATCCACCCCCCCCCGCCGCCGCCCCTGGCCACGCGTTCGCCGTTCCTCATCCCCCGCCGCCGCCGCCGCCGCCGCCGCCGCCGCCGACCGTCCGCACCCTTTCACGGACTATACGTCGATAACCCCTGATAATACCTGACTACCACTCAACGCTATGTACCGAATGACCGAGCGGTGCTTCGCCTTTTTTCCGACATTTCGACGAGTGCGGCGGACTGGTTATGAAAAAAAGTACGGAACGAGCGAGGGGGCGGGAGAACGGGCGGTGGACCGGGAGACAGAGAGAGAGAGCGGAGAAGAGGACGGAGAGCAGCGGATCGTTAAAACGGGTTAATTGGAACGCGATACCCGATATAGGCGGCTGATCAAGGTGACGGCGCTCGTTATCAGGCGAAGATGCCGGGCGTTAGCCGGGCAGTGCGCGCTTGTTGGCGAAGACTCGTTGATGAAGAGAGCGCGAGAGCGCGATGCGAGACGCGAGATCAATTATTATTCCCGCGCGTTGTAGCCGCGGTGTATCGCGGATCTCGCTCGGCCGGCTCGTAATTGCGTGTGGATTAACACGAAAATATGCACCTCCGTTCGCGCGCGCAGTGCGAGTCGGCGAACGTGGAAATTGCGAAACTGCGCGTCGTGCAATTTCACCAGTTGCCCCCCCCCCTCTCTGCTTCTTCGGTGTCTTGACTTGTCCCTTCGTCCCAGCGATCTTTATGAAATCGGAGCACTGGACGGAATTGCGGCGGAAAGTCACAAGGTACTTCCGCTACTCGGAAGCACATGGACGCCCCAGCTTGTTCTCTCGACGGAGTCGCTCGCGATATTCTTCGCGGAGTCATCAAAAGTGCCGCGGCGCTCGAAGGGTTGTAGGATAAAGCAGCGCTTCTGATGGCGTGGTTTAAGGGTTAACACACCGGGAGATAAAAGCCGACGGCGCGGCGGGGTGAGGTTGCTTCGCGGGCCGCAAACCTAGCTCGTTGCCGGTCGATTTAGGCCGGCCCGTCTTCGGCGGAGGGGCAGCGCGCCTCCACGAACCACGAAGAGGTGCTCAAGAGCAAATCGAGCGCCGTCGAGAGGGTGGACGACGAGGCGCGGCCGCGGCGCGGAGGAGGTTTACGATATCCTTGGGGCACTTTTTCACCATCTCCCCTCGGAGATCCGCCGCCGCCGCCCGGCCGTCGTCGTTGCTCCCGCTACCACCCCCCCCCTCTCCCGCCTTCCTCATCGTCGTGGTAGAAAGGTAGCGGCGCGCGCGTGTTGGCGTTGGTCCTGGGCGCCGAAGGGGGACGAGGGGGGCGAGAGTTGGGATCCGCACCGGGGATAAAAACGTGAAACAAAAAGCCGATTATGTAACCGAGGGATGAAATACGAGGTCGCCTCGGCGAGCAAGAGGGAGGGCGGCGGGGGAGGCGGCAAGCGGCGGCCCGGCCGTCCCCGACACACAATAGGGTAATTTTCACGCGAGATTTGGGAGGCGATTTCGCGAAAGAAGGAAACGCCGTTCCTCTTCCTTCGCGCTCGCCTTCATACGGTGTCTGTCTCTCTTCCTGTTTTCTCCACTTCTTCTTCTTCTTCGTCTTGTACGACCCCCATCTTGCGCGCACCCCCGAACTCTCCAAGGTCCTTTCACCACCCTCCCGCCGCCGTCTCACGGTCGTGAGATACGAGCCGCCCGGGCTATTTCAATGTAGCGACGCGTTTGTTATTTCCTACCAGTTTGTTATTCGGCGGCGGGCGGTAGTGAGGCGAACCGCGTCGCGACAAATAGCCACCCCCTGCGCGCGCCCCTCCACCGAAACGCCGCGCCGGCGGGAATAACGTATGCTCGCTGGGGTCCCTGTCGCGCACGCCGCTGCGTTCGTGAGGAACGTAGACGCGATGCGGAAGTCGCTCGTCGGCCACAAAGTGGTGCTCAAGAACGTCTCATGCGCGATATCGTTAAGAGGACGATACGACAGGAAACGTGCGGCAAGTCTCACGCATGCCCAACAAGACTGTCGCTTGCCTCCTTCGATTCGGATATTTACGCGCACGGAGAAGAAGAAGAGAGGAAAAGGTTCAAAAACAGATAATTTGCCGCAGACAGACGTCGAAGCACACGCCGTAATAACGAGTAATCAACCAACTCGGATGAAATTTATGGATAAACTCTCCCTTGGAAGGAGACAGAGGAGGGAAATGGCAAAATCTGTCGAGGCGTCTGTCGGAAAGGCCGGCGATCGCCGAAATAAAATCGAAGCACGCGAGCGACCGGACGGAATCTCGGCCTGCATTCCGCGCCTCGGCCGCGGCGAGAACTTACGGGCGGCATAAAACAGGGGGTTCCCTCCGCGCGGGCCCACTTTCATATACGATTATTGCCGGCGCACGAGGGCGCGGCCACCTCTTATCGCTCTTCGTCTAAGACGCGGTTCCACCTACTTACGAACGCATACGCGGACGACGCTAAAGATAAAGCCGTCGATGAAGAGAGAGAGAGAGAGAGAGACTCACTGACATTCTACTACTTTGAGTGGCTGATAGCGCCGTGACTGCACTTACCTGCAACAAAAAAGACGTACGGTGTTATTGGCGAGCGAATCGCATGCAGTCGCAGATAAGGTATATCGCCGGAGACGGAGAGGGAGAGAAAGAGAGAGAGAGAGAGCGACTTCGCGCTGCGGGTTTTCCCCTCTTCGCCTTTCAGCGGACCGACCGACGACTTAACTAACGATATTGTCGCGCGCGATTACAGTGGGTTACGAGCACGATCCTAGAAACACGCGCGACATTGTCGCGCGATCGAATAGGACTTGAAGTCGGACGCGGGGGACGCTCGATTTTACGATTCGGATTTTACCTTCGGAGTCTTTCGTCGAAAGCGTCGAAGATGCTCCGCGCGGACTGGGTTTTACGAACCGGGACTGCCGAGCGTAATAATTAATATCTAAAAAGTAGAGATGTGCGAATCAAGAATTTTTATGTCGAATCGAATCATTAAAAAATTGAACGTGACTATTAAACATGCAAATAATGATGGAAGATTTCAATATGAAAGGGAATATTGATATTGCAATATCATCTTAAAGTAAAATATATATTTAAATAATTAAAATAATTTATAATTAAGTTATTAATTATAAGTTGAGTTAATTGCAAGTCAAGGGTTCAAACATACAGGCCCAGATGGCCCGTTTTGTGTAGCTGACGCACGCAAACGATAATGTATTCGATTCCTATTTCGGAATTATTCGAATTCGAATCATAGGGATTCGGATTCGAATCGAGTCGAATTACATTAGATTCGATTCGACTCGATTCCAATTCGAATAGTTCGCACATCTCTACCTCTAAAAAGGGATATGATATACGGATTCGAGCGATAACAAACGGATTTTTAGCCTTAACTAATTTGCGAGCGCGTTGCTCGTCTTGTAGAGCTGAAAGTGGTAAGTGAGACAAAGGATGAGTCGAACTGTCGGCACTGCGATTTATTCGTTGCGGCTAACATGTGCGGTGCAATAAATTCCGAGCTGGCGCTTCTCTCCGTGCCAGATCAGATAAAAATATATTCATATCTTCTCGCGTATCTTTGTGCTATTTATTATGGCATTATGCGCCCGTTTCACAGCCTGCTGTCGTCGATGAGTCACAGATCCCACTGTCATCGATCGGTATTAGGCTACACGAAAGTGATAAATGCAAGAGAGATGTAATTTCACGGAGGAAAGAGAAGAGGAGAGAGGAGATTTAGGCGTGTAATTGGCTCAGCTGGTGTTGACGCGATCCTATCATCAATACCTCATCAGCCGCCCCCGGGAAACCTGTATCTCCTCCCTCTCTGCCTCTCTTTCTCTCACACACCGTACACACACCGCTGCCACTGCCGCCGCCGCCGCCGCCGCCGCCGCCCCTTCAGCCACTCGCTATCCCCCGGAGACCGACGCGAATACCAAGCAGCAGTTTCCTCCGAAGATGGAAACGAACAAAAGTTGGTCAACGATTTTCCCGGAGCCGAAAATGACTTTTAAAGATCCTCGGAGAATGCTCGCAGCATAACCCGAGAGGATACTCTCGCGACTTGACTCTTCTATTAGTACTCTCCCACGTGGCGGTGTTGCCGAGAGCGGCCGGGACGCACTCGCGGTTAAGAATCTCAGTGCCGAAAGGTCTCGCTGTGAAGCGGCGAATTACCAGAAGAAAAAAGGAAAAAGAGAAAAAAGGAAAAAAAAAAAC